GGTTAGCTGATTTATTTACAGATTCACGAGTTTCCAGCTGGGCCTCCCGTGTGAGGGTGGCAGCAGCTGCTGCTGCTGCACGTTCCTCTTCTCTGCAAAGTTATTCTTTTTAAAGTTTTTAAAGTTTTATTCTTTTTAAAACCATCCTAATTGGTTACTGACTGGCTGTTTTAACTTTGTAATCTGCAATGACCTCCAGAAAGAGAAGCAGAAAGAGAAGCAGAGCTGTAGAAGGTGAGGGGGAGGGGTGTGACGAAGTGTTTCAACCTCCGGTAACCAAACAAACAAAGATGAATGATTATTTCTCCAAAGAAAAGGATGTAACTATATCGTATAATGTTCCAGTCTCAAATCAGTTTGCACCCTTGGAAAACAGCCCGGACTCATTATTGCTGTTGGGAATGAAAGGAAACTACTCACCGTCCCAGGGACAAGAAAGGCAAATGAATAACACACAACCGGGAGTGTCTGTGCCTGATAACTTCGCCATGCTAATGGCTAGAACTGTTGAACTAATTTCTAACCAATTGAAAGATATAATTTCATATAGTAATTTCATCTCTGCAAAGATTGATAATTTAATTAACGGGAAACCTTCGCCAAATCCTTCACCTCCCTCTCCCAGTTGTCACAATGCAGCTGATTTAAAGGCAAAGACTTGTGCACACACCAAACTGTCTCCTGCTGTGATCTCTTCCTCTTACGCCATGCAGAAGCTTGTTCTCCAGCAGAACTGTTTGTGCTTTACAGTCTTTCCGCTTAACGGCCGCTGCATCCCCTGGAGAACTAAGGAGGATATCAGCAGACATCTGTCCTTTCTTCTTAGGACTAAAGTCTTGCCATCGGAGATGACAACTGTTGAATTTCTGAATGGACGCTCTCAGCTTCAAAAAATGCTGGTTACTTTTAAATCCTCTACACTCCCAGCCCTGATATTGAAGCGAAGGAAGCAGCTATCTCATTGGGGCATAGCCTTGACACGAGTATTCATCAATCTCCTTGTCTCTCCCCTGCTTCATAATGTTCGTTTATGCGATCCTCTGCTGGACAAGAACTTAACCCATGACCTCCCTTGCAGGAATCTTGCAAACGTTTCAATCTCTTCAGAGTCACACCCTCATGACCCCTCTTATTTGGATAATACTGTGGAGGAGAACCTTTTACAGTCCTTTAAATTCTTACCTCCTCTTGAGCAAGTGGCCATCACTGATAGATTAGAAACTTTAAGAATCAAACTTACTGAATCCAAAGAGACCTGTCTTCAGCTGGACTCCTTCCAACAAGCATCGGATGGGAATAATGACATGATATGTGAGAACCAACAGGACAACCAGGTTCTTCCTGAACAAACCCAAAGGGAAACCCTAGTTGCTCCATCTTTCAAGCCAACAGGCCTGACTATTGAACATTCCTGTAAGAACGGATGTGTATTTACTGACAATGACGGCCAACTGGATCTTATAACTACTCACTGACTACCCGGCCCTGGGACGGTGCTCACCTTAAATCAAGATTTTTTGCTCCTTTCATGGAATATTGCGGGTTGGGCCGGAAAAGCTCTGGACAGGAACTTTATTGACTACTTAACCCAATTTAACATCCTTCTCTTGCAGGAAACGTGGATGCTATCAGATTTTGATTTCCCAAACTATTCTGCATTTTATTCTGCAGCCTTACCAAGCTCTAAAGGGGGAAGACCATC